GTTGTAACTGCAAGGAAGTTTCCCTTCAGTCTCCTCTTCTCCGGGCTGAACAGACCAAGTTCCCTCAGCCACTCCTCATAAGGCTTCCCCTCAAGGCTCTTCACCATCCTCGTTGCACTCCTTTGGACACTCCCTAATAGCTTAATATCCTTCTTACATTGTGGTACCCAAATGTGCACACAATATTCAAGGTGAGGCTGCCCCAGCGCAGAGCAGAGTGAGACAATCCCCTCCCTCGTCTGTCTGGCAATGCTGTGCCTGTTGCCCCCCAGGACACGGTTGGCCCTCCTGGCTGCCAGGGCACTGCTGACTCATATTCTACTTGCCATTGGCCAGGATCCCCAGGTCCCTTTCCATGGCATTGCTTTCCAGTATCTTGTCCTCAGCAGCCGTGCAGCAGGTGCTGGACAGAGGATAGAGAGATGTAGGGTTTGCTGCAGGGTGAGAGCGCTAACTGGGAACTTGGGTCCAAAGTGGCCACCTTCCTTACCACTTCAGTATGCACTGTCCTAGCTGGCTCTAAGTCAGCCATCTGCATCAGTAGTTTGCCCTGATGTGTATTTTGGTGCTTGCTAAGGAGCCTAGTTAAAATTAGAGTGAAAAGTGAACTCTGAAGAGCTTGGCAAAATGATAAATTATGAATGTTGGGCAAAACCTCACATATTCGGTGGCCCTTGGACTCAAGTCTCTGCCAGGCATGCTGATTCTCTCAGCTTGGTTGTATTTCTCTGAACTTTATTGAAGATTGAAAACATGTGAGAAGGCTGTGAATGATGAGCTGAAGTTGAATGTAAAAATGTGTGAACTCTGCATTTGTTTCTTTCTTTGTAGCTGTAGGGTAAATCTTTTGATGAGCCTAAATTGCATTCTTTAAGGATGCCCATTCAGTCAGTCCCTCTGTTGTCAAGATACTCTCTGGGTTACTTGAAACTGTTGGCAGCCGTCTAAAGTTTTTTTCTGTTCTCATTAAAATTAATGGCAGATCTTCTCTGTGTTAAGACAGCTTTGAAGATTTAGTCAGTGTTTCAGGAGGCAACAGTAGTAATTGTTTCTATAGCTAGATGACTAAATACAGTATATTCACTACTGTACTTGGAATATGAAATGCTTATTTCTTTGGGTTTGCCTTCTTGGCTTCAATGTTTCGTTACACTTTTGGCTTATTTTCTTTTGTGATAATTCCATTTATAGAGAAGTACAGTGTTCTCACCAGCAGCTCATTACAGCTACCTTTGGAAGGGGATTTCTAACAAAGCTGATGGTAGTAGCACGTTTATGTATTCACCATGCATGTGGTGGGCTCGATGTCCATTCATTTGTCCATCTGTGTGGCTCACGTCTGTGGACTCGCATACCCCCTCTTGTTTAGGCCAGGTCCTACTGAGAATGATGCTTTTACAAAGCAGGAGATGATGTTGAACATGTTGGAGACTGGAAGGTGTGAAAGTCCATTATTCTTGCCAGTAATCAGGGTCAAGTGTTACTGGAGAGACTGGTGCTAGGTAATAATTAAATCAGTATTGGAATGTGTTCTGGTTGACTGTAGTCTGTAGTTATCTCAAGTAGTCTGTAGTTATCTCAAGATTATTGTGGCATAGTACACACAAACCACAAAGTACACTACACAAAGAAGTGCTGTCTTGCACAGAAAGTAGAAATAATTATTTTTCTGTAGGGAATTAAAATTTGATCTTAAAAAACATATAGCAAATGTGTATAATTGCTGAATGAGTCCCTCCAGAGTTTGTGTCTGATCAGATTCTGTAGAATTATAAACACTCTTGCATAATGCTGCTTGTGATTCAATTGGAACTCCCAACAGTGGATTGTATTTTTTATCACAGTAGCAAGAAATAACTCTTCCATGGACACTGAAACAACCAAAGAAGATGAAACCTACAAATCCACTTCTGGTGTACTGGAAAACATGGCAAAAGTTCCTTGTGTTTTGGCAAGTTGCTTTCCTGTACACATCAGACTTCTATACAAAAATTGAAGTTGCTGTGAGTTGCTCTGCTGCAGCTTTATCATCAGCATTTTGCAAGAATCTGAACTCCTGGGGCTGGAGCAGTCATGTCTGTAAAGTACAGGAGGATGCAGCTCTAGGCAGTGTCGGAAAATGAAACAGAGGAGCACAGGGCAAAACCTCTGACAAGCTCCTTGAATTTGCAGCCTGAATTTTTAACTCTAAGTTGGGGTTTGAACTAAGTGATTTATGGAAGTCTTGGACGTAGCAGTTTGAGAGCCTCCAACAAAGGCACTGGATATCACCGCTGGTCCAGTCAGGGGGTTTGAAAAGCAGTATCCTGGTAACATGTTTCCATATGCGACTTCTGTTTTTACATGGTAGGCAATGCATTGCACCTGGGCACTGGTTTGTCTTTCACACTTACCAGAACATTGCAAAGCATCCCCTGCCAAATATGTGTTAGGAAATAGAGTGTATCAGTAAGTATTTAAGGGCTTCAAGGTCCAGGAGGCTGTTAGATTGCTGTGCTAGGTAGCACTTTAGAAGTCTTTGTGGAAGCTTTGACAGCAAGTGTGCATGGAGATGAGAAAGTTTGAGATGAGGGTGTTCCATGCTTGACTGCTTTCAGATAATCTCTTTTAGGGAAGCAGTATTCTCTAGTGCTGGGATGCAGCACTGCTGTTATTAGTGGCTTGCTGGATCGAGTATGGGTGGCATACTGGGGTAGGGACAGGGGCAAGGAGGCAAAGGTCTAAGGGAAAGGTACACTGCTGGGCAGGAGCAGAAGAAAATATGGCAGCAAAGCTGAATCAAGTAGCAAGGGAAATCCCTGTCCTGTGCCCAGTGAGGCATCGTGCTAGTCTTTAATAG